ATATATATTATTTCTGTTGTCAGGAATTTTTTTTATCGAAAAATGAAAAAAATAATTGAGGTTTTGTATAATTTATTTTTTTAAAATTGAGTGTTGTTGTTAGATGCTATGGAGTTGTCTGACTCATAGCAAGGAATAACACAGCTATCAGTTTAAAGTGCTCTTTGTAGTGTTGGTAAAAGAAGCTGCAAGCATTATCAAAAAATTCCAAGCCAGTATGTCTGAAAGCATATTCACATATCTTCTGGAATTTTCTACAAAATGCTAATGCCCGTGTCATTGCCCTTGTCCCATCAATCTGATTTAATTAGTGCAGGAGAAGGAGTAGATGCTTATTTTTATTTTAAAAGCTTCCAGATAAGTCTGAAATTTTTAGTCAAGTTTGATAACCACTGCTTAAAACTATTGTATTGCTACCCTATTGTCATTTAGTTTGTTGAAAGACTTTAAGAGCTATTTGTACATCACTCATATCCCACAAAAATTACTATGAAAATTTGTAAATCCACTACTTCAGGTAGTTGAATTTTGATGTTTGTTGTAAATTGTGTTCTCTAAAAATACATATAAGTTCTAACCCACATTCATGTGCTTACAGTCCCATTTGGAAGTGGAATTTCATTGCTGTGTTGGGTAGTCAATATTGCTAAAGGATACTTTGAGTAAATATCTTTTAAGATACGAAATAAGTAAATTAATCAGATAAAGAAGATAAATGCCAAGACATGCAGAAAGATCTGAGGAACCAGAAAACAGAACCTGAAAAGAGAGATTTGATTTTGTTTTGTTTTTTAGCTAGTGCTGACACACAGAGAAAAGCTGTCTCATAGGAAGACATTTCTGTTTCTTAAAACTACTACCCAAAAAAACAAACAAAAAAACTACTACCCACTTAGGGTATTTCTTTAATATCAGCACTAAAGAACTAAGACCATTAATGCTTCATCACTTTCTTAGATTAATTTTGTTTTGATAAAGATAAAGATAATGAAATTAAATAGTATAGATGCTTTTGCTCCATGCCAAGATATTTACCATCTTATTTGAAACAATTATAAATAAATAAAAGAACCCATGATAAAAGAGTGCAAATATATGGAAAGTGATTTTTAAAATACTAGATTTCTGGCAACAAATGTTACTAATCCCCAAGAAACCCAGTTTATTGCCTTAGATATGTTTCCAGGCACAGAGCTGAGAGAAAGATTCTCGGACAGAGGGATGCAGATTCTTTAAATTGAGAAGATAAACCTGAGAGTGAGAATTCAGTCAGAATATACAACATTGCGTTTACAGGACAAAGTACTTCGAGGAGAGAGATCTGCACAAAGGGTGTTCCCTAGAACATTTAATAGAATTCTGAACAGTGAATATGTGAGAGAAATTTACCAAGGAAAGAGCTATTTGCTCAGTACATTCTTATAGCTTAGTGGGAAAGAATTGTACTGCCAGCCCAAAGATACACAGTTCAAATCCATGTGATGCTCAGTGGGAGAAAGATGAGCAGTTTCCTCCTGTCTAGTTTTTTTTCCCTCTGAAAGGCCACTAGAGGGTCAGCTATGAGTAGATTCTGACTCGTCAGTAGTACATAACAATAACAACATCCTGGGAATACTGCCCATTTGTGCTCGCCAGACTGGAAAATCTCATTTATGGGGCACTGAAGGGGCACTCATTTTCCAGACTGGAAAATCTCATTTATGGGGCACTAAGAATAGTGTTGCCTCAGAATATACCTCTTTGCTTTAGTAGTAAAAATTGTTCCATTGTCGTGGCTATTGAGTCAGACCTAACTTTTAGCTGACCTTCCCTCCAGCATGTTTTCTAAGGTTGTAAATCACATGGGATTGCCCATCTCTCTTCCAGAGCCACTGGTAGATATGAGAACTGCTGGTGGCTTAAGCTGCCAGAGAGGTGCTGCCTTTGTGTTAGCAGCTCAACTCTCGAAGGACTAGGCCACCAAAATTAGCTCCCAAAATAATTTTTGTGTCCAGAAAATAATTAGTCCTGGATAAATGTTGCTCTGTGGGGAAGATGGAGGGATGGTGAAAAAGAAGATGACCCTCGATCACGTGGATTAACACAGTGACTGCAGCAGTAGGCTCAAGTATGTCAGAGATGGCGAGGATAGCACAGGATAGGATAGGGTTCAGATCTGTTGTTCATAGAGTGTTCCTTGAGTCAGCAACACTTAACAACTGTTGCCTAACAAATCTTTATAGTCAGGTCTACAAGAATTGGACTCTTTGAAGTGACCTGCTGCCCCAGAACAAAGGTCAAGAAAATGTAATAGTAATACACCCTTCACCATAAAAGTCATAATGTCTGATAGCTGATCAAAAATTATCAGGAATGTGATGAGGTGCTTTAACATATAATGAGGAGAAATAATCAACCAGTTAGTTGTAGCTTGCCTAGAACTCACAGAAATTTTAACAGATAATAAGCACCTCTGGAGCACTGTGAAATGGTTCACTCACTTTGGAACACATGAAATAATTATGGTGAAAGTATTCAGTCATTTTTTTTTTTTTACATCTTTTCTGATTTTAAACTATGCAGTGTCTTCTCTTCAAATAAATACCTTTTGGTTCTGCATAAGCACTATTAAGTGTTCATAACCTTATCTGTAATTGTTAAGATTCCCAGAGCTGAATGTCTTTTTACTTAGGCAATAAAACATGGCTAAATATATTTCTAGTATTCTCAGCTTTCAGCTAAGATTTATCTGGAGTCAGCAGGAA